CGTGAATTTAGATACACATTAAAATTCTAGATACATGAATAGGAATAAATTCATTTATAATAATCTATATTTATGAAGATCAAGATTCATTGAGTCTAGTCGTCTAGATTAATTTGAATGTTAATTAATTGAGAATTAATGACACGAAATTCATACAATTACACGGATTTTATAGTATTTATTACATATTGAAAAATGAAAAGTAAGGTATTTGAAATAATTAAATTGTAGTAGAGTTAAAATCGTCCAAAAAATGATTCTCACTTGATGTGATATTTAATATATTATAGATATCTTGTAGCCACTTTCTGATTTAACATTAATTTTTCTTGCTACTCGTCGATTTACCTTTTATTGGATAGTTGTACTCTGATTCCTTTAATTAACCATGTTACGGTCTATTATGATGGGACGCTCACCTTCGATTTACCTTTTTGTGTGAATTAAAGTCGAAAATCGACTGCATTGTTGTAAATTTTAGAACCAAAATTTATGGCTTAGGTTTGTTGAACGGTAAATTGTTGTATTTTACTAAGATTGGTGGGGGAGACGACATGCTAGGAGAATAAGGGTATAATCGTCAATGCATTCAATATGTGGCGTACTTTTCACTTTTTCTTTCTTCATATTTTTCAAATGGGTCATGACTATATTTGCAAATAGACATGATGTAATAATAAAAAACATATTTTAGTTACTGTGTAATTACAATGTGGTGTGACTAATAAATTTCATGGTCCGTTTAGACACATCGAAGTAGATGATTGGTTGATATTGTAACCAGTTCAAGCTTTTCAGATTCAAACTAGAAAACTTGTCAAATGTAAGAAGATTTGAGATATCGAGATATTTTCAAGCTAGGAGAATAAGGGTATAATAGTCAATGCATTCAATGTGTGGCGTACTTTTCACTTTTTCCTTTTTTTTTATTTTTCAAATGTAGGACAAGTTCTTAATCCAACATATTCTATCATTTTATGCAAAACTTTAAACACTTTCTTTATGTAGAATTTGTGACCAACGGGCAATGTAAAACGACGTGACTTCGTACGCGTCTTTTCTTTTTAACCACACATTCTTCAATAAAATATTATTACACATAAATCAGATTTTTTCTTCCTTTTTCAATCACACATTCTACAAAAAGCTATTCCAAAAATTACTTGGGGCAAATGGGGATTAGATTACCTATAGATTTAGGTCTGGTTTGGCAGAGTTCTTTTGTTTTTATTCTTACAAAAGGTCAACTTTCTTTAAATGATAATGTTATTCAGTAACATCGTCAAGTATCGGTTTAAATGACAATTGTATGACATTAAATAATAGATTTACTTAAATGTGATGTGGCCTAGACTAGACTCGTGTTCTAGCCCTACTAGTACTAAATAACATTATTCTTTTTTAAAAGCTCTTTTGTCAGACAAAATACTTCTAAAATTATCTAAACATGTTCAAAAGTAATTTCTCAATATCAGGAACAACTTCTAGCCCCTATTTGACAAGCATTATTTGGATAAAATAGAGTTTTGAATTTGTAATTTTTTGGAGAACATGTGGTTAAAAAGTAGAAAAAAATTGGATTTATATGTAGAACATTGTATTGGTGAATGTGATTAAAAATAAGTACGTAAAAAAAGAGTTCAATAATGGTGATCAAACAGGGCTTAACTTTTCAAAAGTTCGACCAAATAAGTGTTCGGGGTTTATGAATGCCTAGAGCTATCTTTAACCATACACTAAAATTTGAGGTAAGTTTTGCACCAAATTAAAAATCATCTCCAATCCATTAAACTAAAAGTTACACCAATGAACAGTGTTTAATCTTTTTTTTTTATTCTTAACAATTTATTTATCTGAAAAATTATTTATTTATTTATTTTACTAATACATAAATTACTACATAAATAATTACATTTCGGTAACGAAAATATTAAATTCATTAATAAATTTAAAAAAAATGTAGTACAATTAATAAAAATACCACGACTAAGAAAATGTTAAATCATGTTATTAAAAAACAACACAGTACATTTCGAATCCCGATATTATGATATGACAAAGTCGAACTAGTGTTGTAATTTAATTATTGGAATTCGTATATTCGTCCCACAAATGTTCAATTAAAGTTTGTTACAAATAATAATAATAATATAAGAACTAAATTTACGTATAATGTAAAATGACACAAATGCCCTTTAACATAATGCAAAAAGGGCAAAAAGGACTTTAATCAAATATGGTGCAACAGTATTCACTTGCACCATTTTGCACTAAAATGGTGCAAATGTGGTATTGAATTGGAGTAACATTGCACCAAATATTTGGTGTAACGGTTGGAGTTGCACTTGGCTTCTCTTTTAACCATCAATTCTTGTCTAGATATCAAAAGTTTAATGCCTTTTATTATTATTATTATTATTATTATTATTATTATTATTATTATTATTATTATTATTATTTTGGAGCAATTCTTGGATTAATTTCTATTGTGGACCCAGATATTAAGGGCATGTTCTCTTTGCTATTTTCAGGCCATTTTTAGTTTTCGATGTTCGAAAATACTGAAAATACGTTTACTTACCATATCTCTTTGCTGTTCTCTTTGCTATTTTGAGGTTTGACATCACCGTCTTACCATTTCTTACTCCTTTTAGAACGTTGATTAAAGCGCATCACACAACTTCGTCAACAATAAATTATGGGATTCATTGTTATTAAACCGGTGATTATCGCAATTAATGAAGAATTACATTATTCTTTTAAGTAATATTAAAAATTAAAAATAAAAATTACAATGGAAATCTCAACTTTCATGAAATAAAGCTAACAAATTCACAACTTCCAATTCGTGGCAAGTAGATATTCTACATTTAAGGCCCTGTTTGGTACACATTATTTTTTTCATTTTCATTTTTCTACTAATTTTCTACCATACATTCTTCAATAAAATAATATTTTTCATCACGTCAATAACTTTTCCTTCATTTTTAACCACACATTCTCCATCAATCCACTGTTCAATAACTTTTGATCCATAAAAGCATGGTTATCAGACCGAACTTTAGCATCAACATCAGATTACTAGTTGAACCAATGGATCATTGATTAGATTTATATATAATTACTTGGTTTTTTTAAATGTTTCCAAATTATGATTTCGAGACAAAATTACAATTTTATATTGTTTGTCACTTATTATTATTATTATTATTATGTCTCTATTCGTATTGTAAATTATATTTGTAACTAGAATATTTGTGTTTAATTTTATAATTTTGTACGATATATTATTTCTAATATAATTATGCACACCTAGGAATGAAATAGTTAGAGATATTGGTAGATATATTTCCTAGGATCAGTTTAATTTTTACTTTGCCTGAACTGATTGTTTGAATTTCACAGAACTGATCCATTTTTCTGAATGTACATTCTCAAAATAAATAGGATATAGTGGTAAGTTTTATGCGTTCAAGCTTAAACTCAAACTGGAAAAAAAAAATATATAAAAGGAGAAAATATAAAATAAATATATTTATATCTATTCATAGAAGATGAAACAATTGATGTTGCTTTGATTTTACTAAAAACCAGATTTCTAGTAAATTTTGACAAAAAATTGATAAGAGTTGTCGGTTGCATTAAATGAGTGATTAAAATTAATTGTTAACTTCGACTTACTTTTTTATAAATTTTTTTAGTTAAACTGTTGTAGTTTGATCATAATTCTAGTGGATATTGAAATTTTGGTTGAAGTGTTCTTGAAGAAATTAGATTATGGACCGGGAGAAAATTCTTCACAATTTCGCTAGCTGACCATTAGTTATGGCGCTCAAGCGACGTCGTCAAATAATCAGTAGAACATTGGCGCCCATCGACGCTTGAACGGTGTATATATTCTAGAAAATTTTGTTTCCTTCTTTTGAAGTGATTTTTGATCATTTTTCCAACCATAACATATTTTTTTTGGTCCTATATGTAGTTCACGTGATTCTTGACTTTCATATGATTGTGAGAGTTAAAATTATATTTGTTACAAAATATTACTTACTATTATTAATAAATTCTTCGTTTCTCATGCAATTGTTCTTGTGTTGTGATTGTTATTTCATATTATATCATATAATCACGTTTTTTCTATTCCTAACAAGTGGTATCAACATACATAATTTTGTTCGAATTTTTAACATAAACCAAACAAAAGCACCACCAAAAGAAAAGAATGAAAGAAGGCATATTCTAATCATATATATAAGCCTTGGCCATAGCTGAAAACTCTTTATTTACACGTATCATTAACGAGCATGCATCAAGATATCCTAAGACATTACGTGCCTTAAACTACTATTACAAGCAAGACCAAGTCAATTTCCCAATGNGGAAAAATTGATTTTTGAATAGTGATATGATGGGAAATGTGTGGTTGAAAAAGAAGAAAAAAGTATTGATGTGATGGAAAATATTATTTTATTGAAGAATGTGTGGTTGAAAATGAGAATTGATTTACTGTAGAAAATAAAAATTTGTACCAAACAGGCTCTAAATCTGATTTTTGAACTTGGATATTAAAAAGTAGGGATGCATGTAATTTCCACCTCGAAAAATATTTGATCTAAAAAGTTATACGCAAGTAGACGAGTCACACACAACATGACACAACACGTACGGGTAGAAATTTGTACAGAGCAGTCTCAGGATAGCTTGACACATTTGGGACCTGATGTGATACAAAAGGGCCTTGTTTTGATAGGATAAAGAGGAAAACCCGGTTGAAAGCAATATGTATGAATAGTCAAGTTAAAGGTCATGTAAGAGCTACAACTAAAATTAGATCAGATAAAGATGAGAGCTTCCAAACTCGTATCTTGATAGAGTTAGCTGCCAAATGTTGCCAAACTGAAAGGCCCACTTGAAGATCTTAAGATTGCAACTAATTAAGAGAGTTATGACACACGATGAATATCATTTGGAAAATAAACTCAATCAAGAAATTGAAACGTTTACAAGCAGCCTGCACGAAAGTTCCAAATGATGAGTAATGAAACTGAACATATATACATAAACAGAATAATGTAAAAATTCACATTCAAAAGAAATATAAACGAGTTAAGGGTTTGTCCTACGGTCATACTTCAGGTTTTTCACTTCATACGCAAATTTTACCTATGACATCAGCTTCATTCTTGCTGCAATCATCGGCATCTTCATTACAGTGTTCCACTATCTGAGCATATTCCTCTTCGGCAATTTTGCTTTCGTCTCCTGGTTCTTTGACAATAACTACCGGGAATTTCAGAGGCTTCTCAGGCCATTCTTGAAAGAACGAATTCATCACCATGAACCTAAAAGCCTGCAACAGATGTCTCTTATCTCTTCTAATATCAGAACTCAAAAGTTTCTCCAAGAGCGATGGCTCCTTTTTGTTAGTTGTACATTGGTTCATGGAGCCATCATTTGCCACTCTCTGCCTCTTAGTAAAGTGATTTTTTTGACCATGCAAGTTTGCTGAATCATGGTTTACAGGCCTTTGCCTCTTAGAGAACCGGTCATTTTGGTGGAATCTTCCCTGTTTGTTGAAACCCTTTTGAAACCTTTCCCTCTTATTGAATGCCCTTTTATTTTCTCCCCTTCCATCTGCTTGTTGCTCAGAATCTGATAAATAGCAAGATGGTATTTCTGCAACTTCACAACCCAATTCAGCTTGCTTTGCCAAGACCTCCTTGAGTTGCTGCAAGAAAGTTGGAAATTGTAGTCTGTTTTCATTATAATCACCTTATAATTCGAAGTCAAAGTTAAACATTAATTTCAACCAAACATTCACAAATGCTACCCATTTATTATCCACACATTTTGTGAGACCCATCCTCTTCATTTTAATCTCATAATAATTTTTCCCAAACAAGCACAAAGGTTTTTCAGGTTTAATGTTGAACTTGTTGAGAGAGAGGTGTTTAGTAGACAATAGTGACAAATGATATCAATACATGACAAGGAAGGTGAAAATGAACAGAAGCATCAAGCATATAAACCTGTATGCACCATATATGATACCCACTCCATGCCAAGCAAGTAGCCAGTAACTATCCGACCAGTAGAAGGAAATATACGTCATCAATACCAAGGGGACTTGTGTGCATTTGCAAGGAACCAGTCCTCATTGTGTGGCTTCATTAACAATGCAACCACAATGAAAAAGCCTAAGTCATATATGATTTCACTTCTACACTTGACAGTCTACAGGCAATGCTCAACAATAAGTGCTTTCAAATTTTATAATTTTGGGGGGCGAGTTATCTAAGTCAGCCCCATAAGATATGCCAAAAATGAATGAACACTTTTAGAAAATATTGAAACTAAAGGGCTAGGGGTTTTCCCAAATAACGAACAGTATTGATACTTTTGTTACTGTGATGCAAGAAGAACCACAGTGTCTCATTGGCATACTATAAACACTTAAAAGTCAGGTTCCTATATCCTTTATGTTTTCTGCAACACATTTTTTAAGGAGACGTGAAAGCTAGCCATTTAGCTGCGAAGCAATAGCATTGCAAACTCACCCTTCATCCATTCAGATTCATGCAAAATATACAAAAAAATAAAATAAAAATTCAGGCAAATACATGAGAAAATCTATGGGCATATAGTCATATTAGAAATCATAAATAACGATGGATGGTACCGGGACTTTTAGATTAATGTCACACAAATATTAAATAAACTGATTCCTTCTCAATCATCTATTTTATTTTTGTACACATCGTGGGAAGAAAACTCAATGCAAAAATGGTAGTTTAATTGAATGCCGTTCCTTAACACCAGTTTCTGATCAGTAAAGGCAAGTCCAGATACCTGACGTCGTATCTTGGCAACAGCATCAACGGCCATGGGGTCTGTCTGATCTTCTTTCAACTTCTGTAAATGAAGTCTATTATAAGACAATTCCTTCTTCAAACCAAAATAATAACAGTTATTGCAGATGCACATACTTTCTCAATCTTGGTTTTCGATGGGTGATTTTTCCTGCGTTCTTCGCGCCACTGTTGAATTTCTTGTTCCGTGTAGTTCAAAGAGAGAGTTCTTAATTTAAAAGACAAGAAAAAGAAAACAAATAAGAATCTTATACAAGTGAACGCAGAGCAGAAGGCAAGAAATGGAAAAATATATTGATCACTAAAACAGATTCCACAGTCTACAAAAAAGAAACTTAATGAAATGAGTATTCAAATTTGAAGCAATTGATGCGAACTCCAAGAGAACATAGATCCTCTGTTCATCCAAGTCATTGACAGCACTAAATCTAGAACAAAAGATTCTGCCATTACTGAACAAATGAAACAGCTTCTCCAACAGTCACTAAATGTGATAAGTGTGTTTCACTCATCATATTAATGCTACTTAATCTTGATATTTCGTTTGATTTTTAGAGTTTCAGAACGTTTTGATTTGTGTTTTCGTGCTATTTTATAAGTTAGATGAATTGGTGTGTGAATCGAATGCAATTAGAAGACAAAAAGGAGTTAAATATGATCAAAATATTATACAAATCAATTTTCAATCACACAAGTATGTTCCAGATTTTTATCCGGAGATTGAGGACCATTTTTTACATAGTATAAACGTTCGAATTGGAAAATAATATCTGAAGAAAAGTAGTAGCCCTTTGAGTTAGCTTTTCAACGCATTTTGAATCACCTCAATCGGATATCGAGAGAAACAGTATGATAAAAATACATAGCACAACTGTTACTGAATTTTCACAACAACGCGGAACCACAGCAACACGCATGTGGCGCCGGGGAGCCGTTGGAAGGCCAGGGTATTCTATTTGCATTGGATAATTTTTTTAAGCCCAATTCAACTCCAATTCCTCTTGGGACTTCAAGATGTTATAAATACCAATTAAGAGGTCCCTTTGCAACTACAATTCAACTAGGCAATCATCGAGAAATCAAGAACATCGCAAAGGCAAATGAAGATCTACCAAAACTAGTTTTTCCATTCACTTATCTATGTTGTTTTATATGAAATTAATTATTTCTATAGCTTCCGTCATGAACTAAATTCATAATCTAGGGTTTGATATAACCAACTTGAGATTATGTCCTAATTTTATTTAGTTATTTCTTTGAAATTTTTCATTCCGTTTATTTGTGTTGTTTATTTTTCACGCTTTCAATTAATTAGCCACTGATTGAATGATTTGATACTTTAAATTTCGGCACTTGAGAGGGAAATTTAGGCGCAATCATAGAATAACACAACTTAGATTCTATAGATTTCAAGAGAGTAAAATCTTTGAAACTTGTTTCACTTAAGAACCACCAACTTAATAATTTCTAGATTTTAATTCGGAACAGAGATATTGGAATTGAAGTATACGAATAATTTTTACTCGGCACTCGAAAGAGGGGATATAATTAAATTAGAGTTCTTGCTTATAAATTTGGGAAAATTGATTAGAAATAATTATTTAATTGAGAATCATATTTGATAGTTAAGTAAAATCATAACCTAGGCTTTCTCATCTTGATTATTCTTCTAAATTGCATTGATATCGTTGAATTTATTCATCATTAGATTAGTCTAAAACCATTGATCTCATAACTCGATTTTCTAGATAAAATAAGAGCTAAACAATTATAGTACTTAGTGTAAATTGAATATCAATCCCGGTGGATTTGGCACACTAACTCTATTATTATATTACAAAACTTGACACTATACTTAGCGGGGATCCTCGTACATGGTGAATAACAAAATTCCAATTGAAATGAAATCTTTAGGATAAATCAATGCAATTTAGGAGGAATACATTATAGAAGACGCGTAACAGGATGCCTTTTAACAAGACAAACATGCATCAATAGACCCATGGTTTGATTATACAATATTTGGGGTAAACTAGATTCGAACTTGCATACTGAACCTTTGGCATCTCTTAGATTAATCTCTAACAAAATTAAATAACTATTGAGGCATTTAAACAATTTCAACCCAATCATATCTTTAGTTCAAAAACAATTAAAAAGTAAAAAGCAAGGATTAAATTAAAGTATTAAATATAGAGAGAAAGAGGGGGGGGGGGTGGGGGGGGGGGGGGGGGGGTGTGTGAAGAAATGAAAGTGGGTAATTACGTTCCTTCCCATCCGAACTTAGAGTTATCAGAAAAGAAATGAGCAATAATTCTACTTTCCCTGCATCTACATAAAATTATTCATACCTTTTTTCACTGACTTGAATTAGTTTGTTGGAATCAGAGTGGGTAAGGTTTACATTCTCATGCCCTGTTTATTACACAAAAAAGGGTGTTACACAATACTAGAAATACAAAGAATAATGGATACTGGTGATGAATGAAAAACAGACATCATTACTAGGAGATGTTAGTAGCTTAAAGCCAGAAAGTCATTAAAATTCAACAAATTTTAGAAGCAATTACTGTAATTAAAAACAAGTTTGGCAAGAAAAGTATAGATATAAATAACCAAATGTTGGAAATTCAAGACCTTCTGAGGCTGACCCTGTATGAGTAAGAAAGGTGTATATATATATATAAATGATCTCCTATGCACCGGTGCTTAGCTTATGCTAAACATCAGTGACTGGCACACCAATTGCTTTGGACTCTGGTAGTCTCTAAAATTTAATACAACTAATCACAATAACATGTAGACAAATCCAAAAGAATCAACAAACAAATTAATTCAATTGCTGAAACTAGACTCTCAGGAAAGATACTACTTTTAGATGAATTCCAAGAATTTTTTAGGAAAAAATTCACTACCCAAACATGAAAAGATGGAACCACTGAAAAGTGCAGTAATGTACTGAAAGATTAATAGATGTAGACTAAAAATTGGAAACATCCAGCCACTAAACCCTCCAAAGCGAACAGATCTGCATTTGCCCTATCAAAACTCAATTCACTTTCTTTGCTTGGTGAATTTAATTTCTCTATTCAATTTCTCTCCTGTCATGAATTCGAAGCCATAGCCCAACATTTTTTGCTGTTAGGAAGCAAAAAACTCGAAGTCCGAAAACTTTGATTTCCAATGACTCGCCGCTGTTGTTGCCGACACTCACAGTGTTGGTGGGGCTGTTGCGGAGAATTGATGGTGGCTAGGGTGGGGGAGTTGGAAGCAGCAGGAACCAATGATGGTAACGATTGTGGCTTGGGATGGGGACATGGGGTTGGGAGGTGTGGGGTGGAGTGGAGTGGCCTCTGCCCTGGGAATGCGTGCGCAAGATGATAACAGATTTACTATTTTTCTTTATTTATTTATTTATTATTATTATTTTTTTTTCATCTGTTTTTGCATTTAAACTCACAGAAATATTGTCTTTCTACACTAATCTAACGGTAATATTGGACGGAAACTGTTATCAAGGAGACAAGGACGATAGCCACCAATTTACCAAAGGTTTAGGATATGAATAGGAGAATAGCATGAAATAAAGGTTAAACCTACAAGTGCAAAAAAGTTAAAGGTTGGGATGGTGGCTGCAATTTAGCCTATGTTTTATATATACGACCATGGGTGAGCTGCCACCTATATATGTTACATAGGAATGCCATAGCACAAGCAGAGATGGTTTCAAATGATGCTAGATATTAGTTTGCCTATGGTTTGGCTCTTCAGCACATTTATTTACTGACAAAAGGTATTGCAAGGGAATCACATTAAATGTTGGAAATTCAAGACCTTCTTAGGCTGACCGTGTATGAGTAAGAAAGGTGTATATATATATATATAAATGATCTCCTACGCACCGGTGCTTAGCTTATGCTAAACATCAGTGACTGGCACACCAATTGCTTTGGACTCTGGTAGTCTCCAAAATTTAATACAACTAATCACAATAACATGTAGACAAATCCAAAAGAATCAACAAACAAACTAATTCAATTGCTGAAACTAGACTCTCAGGAAAGATACTACTTTTAGATGAATTCCAAGAATTTTTTAGGAAAAAGTTCACTACCCAAACATGAAAAGATGGAACCACTGAAAAGTGCAGTAATGTACTGAACGATTAATAGATGTAGACTAAAAATTGGAAACATCCAGCCACTAAACCCTCCAAAGCGAACAGATCTGCATTTGCCCTATCAAAACTCAATTCACCTTCTTTGCTTGGTGAATTTAATTTCTCTATTCAATTTCTCTCCTGTCATGAATTTGAAGCCATAGCCCAACATTTTTTGCTGTTAGGAAGCAAAAAACTCGAAGTCCGAAAACTTTGATTTCCGACGACTCGCCGCTGTTGTTGCCGACACTCACAGTGTTGGTGGGGCTGTTGCGGAGAATTGATGGTGGCTAGGGTCGGGGAGTTGGAAGCAGCAGGAACCAATGATGGTAACGATTGTGGCTTGGGATGGGGTTGGGAGGTGTGGTGTGGAGTGGAGTGGAGTGGAGTGGAGTGGAGTGGCCTCTGCCCTGGGAATGCATGCGCAAGATTGGTGGGGCTGTTGCGGAGAATTGACGGTGGCTAGGGTTGGGGAGTTGGAAGCAGCAGGAACCAATGATGGCAAGGGTTGTGGCTTGGGATGGGGTTGGGAGGTGTGGAGTGGAGTGGAGTGGCCTCTGCCCAGGGAATGCGTGCGCAAGATGATAACAGATTTACTATTTTTCCTTTTTTATTTATTTATTATTATTTTTTTTCATCTGTTTTTGCATTTAAACTCACAGAAATATTGTCTTTCTACACTAATCTATCAGTAATATTGGACGGAAACTGTTATCAAGGAGACAAGGACGATAGCCACCAATTTACCAAAGGTTTAGGATATGAATAGGAGAATAGCTTGAAATAAAGGTTAAACCTACAAGTGCAAAAAAGTTAAAGGTTGGGATGGTGGCTGCAATTTACCCTATGTTTTATATATACGACCATGTGTGAGCTGCCACCTATATATGTTACATAGGAATGCCATAGCACAAGCAGAGAAGGTTTCAAATGATGCTAGATATTAGTTTGCCTATGGTTTGGCTCATCAGCACATTTGTTTACTGAAAAAAGGTATTGCAAGGGAATCACATGGAACCATGAAACCCATAATTGGTGATTCATTCCTTACAATGGCACAATAATAAAAGAACATTACTCATTTATTCATAAAGAATTGCTCAAATTACTGAAACTAAACCACATTCATCATCATCGTGAAAGAGAGAACGCTGAGAATCAGAGATGCCAAATAGATGCAAACCTTGTAAGATTCACATGAAAATTCAAAGTTTCCCACACCGAAATGAACAAATAACGTAAAAGTATCCCTGGATGTTATTTATGTAATTTTACTAGCACAAAGATGCTTCTCTCTAGACAGACATGCATGTACGTGGGCAATATACCATTTCCCAAATTACATTAGCAAGCGGACAAATTTCCAGGCTTATCATCCAAGGACATCGCAGCCAGTAGCAGAAACACTGAACTATCTTCTGACTCTATCTGTTCTCTAGCATAGGCCAATAAGATTGAGCAGTTAGCACCACTCTAGACGATAAGCCACCCCATAAGGGTCTGTCTTCTAGGAGGCAGACATCCATTTCACTTGAGAACATGAACAGTCTCTACTTCATTTTATTGCATATCTTGGATAAGAGGTAGCAAATAGAAAATGTGCTACGTTAAAAATAAAAGAAAGAAAGACGAGGGAAAATTGTGGAAGAGGGAAGTTAGCAGCCTACACCTTCCAATATTTACAGTCTGCCAACTAGACAGTTGCAATATCTCGTCCACCAATGCCATTAGGATCACATATTACAACAATTAGACAAGATAAAGATTAATAGAAGACTAGCAAAACAAGGCATCAGAGGAAAGGAAATTATAATATTTTGCCACTCTGTAAGTTATCACTTTTTGATCAACATCAGCAATATCCAGAGAGTTGTGGAGATAAGGAGATGTATGCAAACTCATGCACTTTCAACAACAAATAATGGAGCATATTAGTACGAAAAAAGTATACAAGGGAATGATGTATATCAAATCAGTAACAATCCCCACCTTTTCTTCGGTTTTCGTTATCGAACTTGAAATTTGCTATCGTATTTTGCTTACGATGAACCTGCATATTGGGAAACCTGCAAATAATTTGACAAAAGTGAAGCAACCACACCCATTTACCTAATTTGTCAATGACAAAATGTAGAAAAGGCAAACATACCCTCTCTGCAATGCATCAAATTTAGTATTTCCTGTGAAGCTCTTGTCGTGAGATTTTCTCCAGCCATTCCTCATTTTGTTAACCCCATTGACTTTTCCTAAATTACTCTGAGACAAGCAATGAAGTTTCAAATGACTCCATGACCAGTACAATTCGTTTATTCATTCAGCAAAGAGTATAAATAGAAGCATACAGTTTCAGGAATATTAAAGCTGATTATACAGTAATTCTAAATACCGGTTATTAGCTCCATACTGATTTTAGTATAAAAAAGACAGTACCACACAAAGTCTAAAATGCATGATAGCTCAACTCTCTTATTGATTATTTTGAGACACCAAATTAAAGTGCAACTTCTCATTACTTGGTATAGAATTACTATAGTGGTGATGCAGTACACGTTGTGTGATAACAATTGCGTAGACAAACATGCTGGTCAAAAACCAAAGATTTTGGCTTGAAACAGTTATACTCACCATATTGAATATTTTAATTGTAGTTGTATAGAAGAAAGAGAGAAATAAAAACGCAGGTACATAGCGCACATTATATACTTATTTGATATTTCAAGCTTGCAAGGTCATATTTAACAAATAGTTTGGTCGGTGCAGATACATAATATTTAGCACCGTGCATGAAATGTTAAGCAAAATTCAGTAGAATTGATTGTGATCTCAAGCAAAAGTCCATAAATGTGTCAATGAATACTAGAAGAATCTTACACAAATAATCTCAGAATTCAATAGTACATCATAAACACAGAGACACACAAGTTTTCTACTGAATATAAATTAGGTTGCTGTGAAACTGATAGTGCTCTTGCAAGGTGCTTATAGATTCCGAAATATGCATACCAAAGATTTCTCGCTTATTTTCAGATCCAGTCCTGCTATAATTTTGATTGTGCCTTCGAAACTTGCAACGTCAGTTAAGGTACAAAATACCAAAGAGAAGAGAACGTCTATATTCCAAAGTATTAAAAGGCAAAGAAATTCAACAGAAAAACATAGCACTCAAGTATGACTTTCCATCAACAAAAGTGGGATTAAACAGTAATGTGAATCTTTTACTTCTCGACATGCATCTTTGTTCGACAACAAGGCGCCCATTATTATTCTTATTTTATTTTTTATTTTCTTTCAGAAATGTTCAAGGTGAATAGTCCTAAAGATTCACTTAGTTTAATACGCAATTAGAACGACTATTGAAAATCTGCCTTGTCGCTTCAAGTAGTTTACCTGAAGTAAGGACTTAACTGCATTTGTTAGTGTTTTCAAGGAGAAATAATGTAATGTTGATTCCACATCGAAAGGAAAGGGATTTCTTCCCTATCCATCTCTAAAATGAAACAAAAAGAAATTTCCTCAAGTCACAATCTCAAGATGAACAGACAACCTAATATTTGGACATTGCATGTTTCTTGCTGTACCATGTTGTCACCAAATCTGTATCAGTCTTCCCGAGATAGTATGGTCACATTCGCCATTTGTATATTTTACTCAATTACTGATATGATATTAATTTCTTTTCATCAGCATGCAGCTAAATCTACATGCATCACCAAAAATTACCCATTTGCTTGCTTGAGCCTCTTGGTGCTAGAATTTGCATATGCATGTGTACCTTTACAATGTTTGTGCAATCATAATACAGAAAGAAAGTCGCTTTATGGATGCGTGCATATATACAAACCTGACATGACAAAGAAACACGACTTTTAACAAAAAGCAAATTACCTGTGGCTTTGAAGAACCAGGGGAAAAGCTATTCTGATTCCACTCCGGTTGAGGGAAACCAGAAGTTTTCCCTAGAGGCGAGTTTGAATGCTGCATAGTAACATTAGGGGGCATATACTGACTCGTGTTGTTGCCATTAACTGACTGTTGCACAACTCCATTGGCATTCAGAAGACCTGCTTGCCCGTTGGCAACAAGGTTGGGATTTTGAGAGACAACTGGACCACAACCCGGCATTTGCATTTGCATTTGCACTTGCATTTGCAGAAGCTGGTTAATGTTTTGCATTGAATTCAGTAAATTTAATTGCCCATTAGGCAAAAACTGTGGCTGGTTCATTGCATTCTGCGCTAAAAGTGAACCCAATGCTTGAGATGGATTATTATTACTATTCATTTGATTAAGCGCAATTAAATTCAAGTTAGGGTTCTGTAGTGGCCCTTGCGGAAAAGGGAAAAACTGGCTAGGCGCAAAACCCGTATTTAGGTTAGTAAATGGCAATGGAATCCCAGGATTGAGCATTCCCATTCCCATTTGAAGTTGATGCTGAATTTGCAGTGGGTTTGGGGCAAAACTACCTGGATTTGCCATAACCTGATGATCATAACCAACAAAGCAAAATTAACAAAAATAAAACACATGCTGACATGCAAACATACACACGCATAGAGAGAGAGAGAGATAGAGAGAGAGAGAGAGACCTGTTGATTTTCCGGAGGAGCAGTTCCGTTGGATTGGAGTTGATTAGAGTGGTAAGGATTAGAATTGAAGTGCGGACGCATGTTTACAGTTGGAGGAGCAGGCGCGTGCTTAGGGTTTTAGAAGAAACTAAACAGGAGAAGAAGAAAAAGACAAAAAAAGGTTCTACTAAAACCGACCCGGGAACTTTCGGGTATAACAATTTCCTGGTTATTTTATCTGACCCGGGAACTAAAGATTTTATCGGGTCGCTAATTTTACTAAAGATAAAGGTTAGTAGTGTCAAACAAACAAAGATTTAGGGTAAAGTTGTAAAATTATTTAAAGATGGGGGACGATAACAATAATTTACTTAAATAAACTTTATTTGACCACCGTCTGTCAATTTTTTTCTCCATTCTGTATCCATTTCCACTCGGAGGGCATGGCCGGGAACTTTCTTCCGGCTGCGATACTCACGGCGAGCAGCCGCCCAGTTCTCAAATCCGGCGAAGTAGAGTGTTCTCTCCTTTCCACCGTGGACCTCCTCTCAGAAGACCTCTCAGCCTTCCCACACCTGAAATGCGGTCTTCTCATCCTCACCACCCACCGTCTACTCTGGCTCCCGTCAGATTCCAACATCCCCACTGTTACCACTGCTGTATATATTCCCTTGTCCACAATTCAGCACATTTTCTCCACCAAAAAATCGATCAAGTCCATGTTTCACAGCCCAAGAATCCGATTCCAAGTTTCGACCACCCCGGATGGACAGGTATCGGAAAAAGGACTGAAATCTTTGGTGATCACGTTGATATTGAGGGGAAAGATGGACACTGATTCATTTTTGGGGAAATTTTGGGACGTTTGGAGAGGGCGTGCCTGGGAGACGAGTGGATCGACTACTGAGTCCGGATCAGGTTCGGGATTGAGGGAGGGTTCGGAGTTGCTGGCTGTGAAATTGCCTGTGGTCGGAGTGTCGGGGATTTTGAGGAAGGAGCAGGAGATTTGGGAGAGTACTGACAAGAGCTTGCAGGATGCCTTTCAGGATTTGAATGCTCTTATGGTATGTAAAAATGTTACCACTTCCAATTTTCAAATTTAACATTTGAATTTAGCAGATAATTTATTTATCCGTGATTCCCTCTGTGTTTGGTGTTAGTGAACATAGGGTAAGAAAGTTGATAAACTAAGGAAGAAATTGTAAATTTTGGTTGTATGAATTGGTTTTGCACTTTTCTGATCTTTTTCTCATGTAAATTATGGATTGGATGAAACGTGCTGATGCTTTATATTGATGCTCCCATTCTAAATCATCACCCTAACATTTATGTATACCTTTTTAGTGCAAATTACTCAGATGCTTTACATTGCACGGTCCGTGCTTAGTATTCTTGTGAACAACTCAGCAATCAGTGATGGAGTGAATATTCTGAAACAGTCTAGGAAATGTCAAAATAAATTTTTTTTTGAATTCTTACATGTACCTAAAACCTATTAACATGTATGGAAACTGAAAGACAGCATTAGATGGTTTACATAAAGTTTTGTTAATCATAGAATAGAGTAGGGCTGGACAAAACTCCCGAATCGAGCAGTTCTTCTTAAATTAAATATCTGAACGGGTATCCGAATCGAGAACTAATAGGTTTGGTTCGGTTCTCGATTCTAGACCAAGAAACGAATAAGAACCAAATATTCCTAATTTCTTTATCTTAAATAAGTCAAATTATTTTATTTTTTTCTAAACAAATTTGCTAACTAATTAATTTAACACAAATCCAAAATATGATTTTCCTATTTCTAATTTCCAGTCCAAGCCCAACTGACTAAGTTTTACCCTTTTTTTTCTACCGTAGTGCCATTTTTTTTTGTTATGAAGAAATCGAATTGGAAGTTCTGATGTGCTTCTCATTATTATTTTAAGTTCGCTATCTTCCTCTTCCTGTTCCTGTGATTTTAATAGTCAAATTTATGAAAAACTCAACAAAAAGGGAGCAAAAAATATAACGGGGATTAGACTACGTTATTTTGTAAGAGTTAAAATTGAATATGTCATTAATTGAATTAATGTAGCGTTGTTGTAAATATTTAAAAATTTAATTATTGTACGAAACCCGGGAACCGAATGTAACCGAACCCGACCCAAATCGAACGGGACTGAACCCGAATGGTTCCATAATTAAATTTGGACCTGACGATTCCACTTACTAAATACCCAAAAATTCGAGAGAGAACCAAACTGAATCGAATCATGTCCAGCCGTAGAATAGAACATGACCTGTTTTGATACTGTGGTTTCTTTTTGTTTTTCAGTCTATAAATCTTCTGCTTTTATATTTATTAACAATAGAGCAAGGCTAAGGAGATGGTGGTGCTAGCTGAGAGGATGAGGTTAAAGCTACTGTCAGGCTCTAATAATCAGACTAGTGGAACAAACGATGATGACATGGGTACGAAAGAAGAGATGCAAGATTGGTTATTAAGTGTCGGTATTGCTTCTCCAGTTACGAAAGAGTCTGCCGGTGCTTTGTATCACCAGCAGTTATCTCGACAGGTACATGTTTATTTCTGGTCCCAGTTACTTTGCCCATTATTACATGCAAAATAAAATATACGAACCACTCTGAGCCCAGATATTGAACACTGCAAGTGCGTATATTTGCACTTGGAGCATTTTAATATTAAACGAATTAACACTGCAAGTACTTCAAAAGGACTAACATATGAATCGATTTGCCTGAAATGCTGCAAGTAAACTTAGCTGTTTCTCGCCACTCGAGCATACAAGCAAGTCTTCAAGACTACAATTTGAAAACCATCAATTTGAGGGTGAAAAGCCGGTGAATATTTCAAAGTAATGCGAAACAATTCTAATGTGTTATTTAAAGGTAACTAAAAAGTTTCCAGTCAAACACAATGGTTAAAAGTAGCCCATGCAAGTAGTTAAATTTCTTGAAAAACAGTTTAGCAATACAGGGAAAGAATTAATAGATTTGGAACATAGAGTGAATAGATATATACTCACAACTACTAAAATATAATCATGACTTTTAACAGTTTTCAGCAACTCTAGGTGAAAGTCCATGCTCAGATCGCCCCAAGAGTCTGTGGGGGTAGAAAGTGGAGAATATAACTCAGTTCTTGTTCTTACCCTGTAACTAAGTGCTTGTTTGGGAAAGCTTAAAAGCTGCTAAAAAGTTGAAGTTGAAGTCAACAATTATTTTTAACCATGTGTCATGGGACCACAACTTTTCAACTATATATTTCATCGACTTTTATCAAAAGCTTTGTCAAACAACCATAATTAACAAGTGTGATATTGAGAGACCATATGAACAGCATCCCTTTTCAGGTAAGTGCCAGAAGACTTATCTTCCATTAGGATTATTGTCTTATCCATTCTAAAATGTCCAGATACACTTTCAACATGCAATTCCCTTAAAACTCTCCAACCAAAGTATGAGGAATGGATAATTTAGTTCCCTTGGAAAGATAATCATTCCTAAGAATAAAGTTTGCATGATTTCTATTTTATTTAAGAGATCTTTAAAAATGACAAAATCTCTTGACAATTAAGATACTTATCCTTAATTCCCACAAACCTACCACTTTATTATTCATCGTGAGAATAACAATGGCAACCCGGCTAAGAGCACCCCACAACTTTTTTCTCTAGGATAGCACCACCCTAAGTTGTTGTAACTTTGTTTGTATCTGTGATTGGTTGAGATAATGATGCTCCAAAATCAAGGAAAAAGTTTTATTTTGCCTTATTCCTTTTGCTTGATGGCATCAGATTTCCCTTTGGTACTGAGATGAGTAAAGTAGTGTAAGCTCTAGTTTTTAGCTTCATAAATAGCTTGCACAATTTCCATGTACATTACTTGAAATGCAATCGGTCAAAAACAAATAAATTAATAGTAAAATAAGGTAGAAAGAATATCCCCCCATATAATTTTCATCTTTGATTTTGGAGATAGTTTCTGCTGGTGATGTTATTTTTTGTTATCTGGCTTGGGGAAGTTCTTATGTTGGCTATTTGTGACTCAGTGTGCATTGGTTCTTAGTTGGCAGATTTTGTCAAGAAACCACTAGAGAAGGCTGGAGGAATGATTAACCTGATAGATATTTATTGCCTCTTCAATCGAGCTCGTGGCACAGGTTTTATTTTGTAATTTATCTATCTTATCTTTTCTTTAATTCCTCCACATTTGTTTTGCTGGAAACTTAAACCTTTATTTTCGGTTATTACATGTTGGATACTGTAACAGCGTTGTGTTCTTGTACAGAATTGATCTCACCTGATGATTTGCGACAAGCGTGTTCTCTCTGGGAAAAGTTTGACATGTAAGTATTATGTCACATTGAAGCATGGTTTAAAAGCCCAATTGAAACCCGCCTTAATGGCAGCCTCAGATTGAGGCGTGCAAAAAATGTCTCAAGGTGTTGATTGTGAGGAAATATTTGGAGGCGTAGTATGCCTCAGTTGCTCGAGACACATGCCTCACAACAGCGCTCAAGGCTGGTGGCTCACAAAACATAAAAATGCTGATAGACCCATTTTGATAAATAGCCCTCTGCACACTAAAACATTAAGAATTTATATTTCTCATACACCTTCTTTAGGAATCGTCCCTAGCTCCCCGACCAACTAAAATAATAGTTTCTTTATAATTTTTTTTTCCTTTTTTGGTTTGTTTTCTCAATTTAAATTGTTCTATTATGAATTTTGAAAATTGTTTATGATGTATTATGAGCTTACTTTGCATTTTAATAATTTTTTGCATTTTTTTGGTTTATGCTGAGGGTAATGCCTCGCCTCATGAAGGAAAAGGGCCTTAGTACCCAATTAAATCTTGTTAAACATTACATTGAAGTCAATCCACTAGTGTAATAAATATGGGAGATTTTTATAACAGATAATGTAACACTCACATTAATCATCCGTTGTTTTTGTGAACTTGTTATAAATCCTGTATCACAGTGTTTATAGTTTTAGTTTTTTCTCTTTGAACAGCCCAGTAATGCTTCGGAAATTTGATAGCGGTGTCATGGTTATCCAGAATAAGACCCACAGTGATGATGAGGTTATTTCCTTCACCTTTAAAGGGTTTAACACATTTGAAGACGTGTTTATTTCGTTTACATTTGTGGGTTCTTTCATAAATTTTAGATCTTTTATTCTGTTTGATATGCCTATTCTGAATCATGTCGGAGAGCTATGTGGGAGCTGAGACAACCAAAAACAAATAGAATACTTATTTATGAGCTGACAGAATATACAAGCTTATCTTTGATGGCTAAAAATCTGAAGAAAATAAATAATTTTGAAGATCTTGACAATTCTAACCAGCAAGTAAAACAAAGATTGAAGTACACTACCCACAATATGTGCAAAACACATTTCTTTTGAGTGATGAAATATTGATTTACTTTGAACCTCTTGATTTTTGAAATGATACTGTTTTGAGCATGTGCAGTTTTATTTATATGTTCTTTATAGTAACTTCTCTCTCACTGTTTTAATTCCTGAAAGCAAATTAATCGGGATCTGCTTTGGACATGTAGGTATTTTCTAGGATCAGGTCCTTGGTATCGAAGCCTGATGCTTTACGAAATGGGATCAGTGCCAGTGATGCAGCAATGACTCTAGGGGTTGCTCCAGCTATGGCTAAGGAGTATCTCCTTGCTGCTGAAGGAAAAGGTGCATACTTGAGGATCATATTGTAGAAGCTCGTAAAATAGTAAAGAACTTACTCTTTTAAGTTCTGTTTGCAGGGTTGCTGTGCCGAGATGTAAGCCCTGATGGTCTTTGCTTTTACATCAATTTGTTTCCTGAAATCAATCCAGATGATAGATACTTGTAAGTGGAGAATCATGCCATTCACTCTGTTTTCTTGCTTACACTACATTGCACCAGTTTTCATTTTCATTTTTGTTGAGAAACTCTCTTAACCTAGTCCCTGCATTTACTTTTTGTGCGTGCCATTTTCATCCCTTCCTTTTTGCATAAAAAGGAATTAATCAATTTCACACTTATAATGTCCCTAATTGACCTTTTACCTTTTCAAAAAGCTGACAAATATGACCCAAGGATGCTCCCATTCACAAAAGTGATGTGAAATAATTAAATGTGTTAGAAGAGAAGAGGTAAGACCAAATTAATATTATTGGGCATTCACATAGGATTTGATCATATTGGATCTTTCAACAGATATAGTGATTGGTATTCTAAAAAGCGCACCTAGACACGAGGCGCGAACGAAACTCCACGCCTTGGCAGTGAGCACGAAATTAAGCGATCAATTGCCAAGTTGACCGCTTAATTCGCCTAGTCACATTTTATTAATTTTTTTTTCCTTCTTTTAAAGCCTTCTATTTTCTTTAGTTTCAAATTTTTAAATGACTTGTCTAGTTGAGAGCTGAAACTATGAAAAATAGTCTAGTTTTTGCAATTCGAAGACTTGAAAATTATATAATTTGCTAATTGTAGGAATTATTAAGTAAATATAGTATTTTATAATTTTAGATGTTTTGTATGTATTATTTTAATTATTAAATGATTTTTAGAATGATTAAAAATTTAAAATAAGAAAATGTTTTTTTATTCCTAGACTCGTAAAGCTTGAAACTTGACCTCCACGCCTAGACACGTTTTATGTTTTTTAGAACACTAGTAGTGATATGTTGAACGGAGTGACGAAAATGATTCATGTGGCTTAGTTTGCTGATCTTGAAAGATTTCCATCCATTAACTTCTACCAACGATGGGTGACAATATGGGTTGGTGGGATTGGAAACTGGACTCATTCTCCTGTAAAAAGCAGTGATAATCAACACAAAGCAGCTTTTAATTCCTTCAAATGTACGTCCACAAAAAAAAAAAAAAAAAAGAGCAAAGACGAAAGGAATAGAGATAGCACCCGATGCTGGAGTTCAGAGAGGCACGCGCACAAAAAAGGACTGCTACACAATCACCATTAAAAACAACTGATATGTATGAAGTACTCATGGAAGTCACACTAATTAAACTAATCAAACAAAAATAAGTGAACCAGTTCTTGACGATCTTTACTAATTTGTTTTGAGTTTTTCAAAACAAACGAAGCAGCCAGACATTGTGTGTACTCGTCATTTAATGAGTGTATGGTATGAAATGAAATAAAGCTGCTATGTTAGGGTGAATGTCATCATCTCGCTTGGCTTGTGTGGGCACTTAGCATGAGCCTGTTTGGTAATAGGCTTTCTCATTGGCCGCCATTCCAATTGTTTTTTGAGTCCAGTTGCTCAGTGTTTCCAATTTTAGATGATACTTATCCATCACGAATAATTTGCTTCGAATTTTCTTAATCTTTCTCAATTTGTTCAAGTCACGGTCCTTCTCGTAAATTTGTGTTTTAACTTTGAATTTTGCTTGTACAGAGTAAAAGATCACGGTATCTACAGTATGTGGAACAGTGCCGTCTCATTCAAGTAAGTATTCTATCCATTGTTCACATTTGCACGTCTCACCTGGGAAAAAAGAGAAATATTGCGTATGAATTGAATTAGAACGTTCTGTAACAAGTATCAGTTTTTAGAAGATAAGATTTCTGTTAGCTCACTTTAATTTCTTTTTAACTTTCTCAAACAATTTTTTTTATTTCAGTTAAGGTCGTCTTTTTTCACGGACCAATAAGAGGGTGGCAAGAGTACTTATTGATAAATGACAGTGGATTTTATGGAAAACAAAAGCTTGCTCGGGGTTATTTGCTTTATGCTGAACAGATTAACTTGGAAGCATTGAAAAACTGGAGTCTTTTTCTTTTTATTTAAAATAGAGTGGGTATAAATTCTATGTTTGTATCTTCACTTTCAGGGGTTGATAGATAAATGACTCTTCAGGTAAAGACTGAAGCCTCAATATTCTAGACCAATCCATCATTGTAACATATCGTTTTTGTTGTTGTCATGCGACTGTATAATTGAAATTTCCGTTCGAATAAATGATAAATTTGGTGGAAGCTTCCGTCCAAAAAAGCTTTACGATTTTTCGCTTTCTTCTGTAATAGCATTCCCTGATTAATTTCGTCCATTCCTTTCCTTTGGTAAACTAGGCAGCCAACGAGTAGTGCAAATCACGGCTCCCACATCTTTGAATTTCATGCAGTTTTACTGTATATGGTTTGTTATAAAGGGCATAACATGTTTATTTCTGGTACCTGGGTTATGGGAATATCCAACTGTATAGTTATGTTTCAAGTACTCATCCTACGTGTTTCGCCCCTGAAAATGCTGCAATTCTTGAAAGTGCAAGACAATTACAGACATAAAATTCGAAAAAGACATTATCAGCAAAATCATACGGCCGTTCTAGTTAAAAGAAGAGACCACGTGAAACCATTTTTCTCTCGTCTAAAATTTTAATGAAGCGAACATTAATTGAAAACTGCTGCCGATTATGTTTTTACATGGGTGACAACATGAGAACATGCTTTTGACAAAAAAATTGCTACAAATAGTGACTTTGATACAGATCACAGAGAGTCAAGGAAAAGGAAAGGAAGGATTAAATCTATATACACAGTGTCTGAAAATCGTTATACAACAACATTTTTCTATGCTACATTAACCGTGGTTATCCGGGTCAGCTTGCGCGCACCTCGACTAATTCCATGAGGCCCTGAAGTTTACGGCCGGGTACTCACCTCAGTGGCCCTGAGGGGACTCGAACTGGTGACCATTGGGGAGCAAACTCAATGCCTGACCAATTAAGCAATCCCTCAGGGTTACTTTCCTATGGTTATTTCACATCAAATAAAACTAAAGGCAATATCTTAGAAGAGAAAGAACATTACATTACTAAATTCTAACACGACAATTACAGACATAAAATTCAAAAAAGACTATCAGCAAAATCATATGGTCTAGTAGGATTCGTTCTAGTTAAAAGAAGAGACCATGTGAAACCATTTTTCTCTAGTCTAAAATTTTACTGAAGCGAACATTAATTGAAAACTGCTTCTGATTATGTTTTTACATGGGTGACAACATGAGACCATGCTTTTGACAAAAAAATTGCTACAAATAGTGACTTTGATACAGATCACAGAGAGTCAAGGAAAAGGAAAGGAAGGATTAAATCTATATACAGTGTCTGAAAATCGTTGTACAACAACATTTTTCTATGCTACAGCAACCTCAACTTCCTCGGAATCTGTTTCGGTTGCTGAAATCAACGATGCAGATTGAATTTTTCCAGCATGCTCAAGACGCATCAAAATCACTCCTCTGGAGAAGAAAAACAAGGTACATGACTGAATACAGAGTATTTAATCAAGAAATAACTCGTAATACCTTGCAAGCTCAAATACATATGTAATGTAAAACAACTATCAGAACTTGTAATACCTTGCAAACCGTGACTGAATAGAGATATCCCGAACTTTTATCCGATTCACTGTTCCACTTTGGCTCACCAATACCACTTGTTCATCACTTTCTCCATCTTCTGTTCAAAACATTTAGAATTCAATTCTACTTTATTATAATGTTCCTAGGTGAATAAATTAGAATAAAAATAATAGGATGTATCACCTCCAACTACGAAAACAGCTACAAGGCGATCTTCAGATGAAAACTACAGCATTTAAAGCAGATGAGTAGCATGGCCATAAAAAATAAAAAAGACAAAGGCAGGAGTATAAATCGTCTACATTGAGTTCTACAATTGTTGTTTGTCCCATGAAGTCGTCAATGTTAATCTTTCCCACAACTTAGGTCCTTTGCTCTATTCATTTTTCTTTTTTGTACTTTTGTTGATATGGTGAAAGTAACCTACCTTGTAACCTTTTAAACCAACTCTATTCAATGGTGACGTGCGGAATTTGGCAAGAGGAACTCGCTTCCCAAAGCCATTCTCAGATATGAACAACAGCCATGGACCACTCAAGTCCTTACCACTGCTCCAAAATAAACAAAGAACAGTTAGTGAAATCATGCACTGAAAATAAAACAATATATATCCAAGTAGAATAAAAAAACCTGCAAAAAATAAGGCTCTTAAATAGTAGTACAGACAACCTACAAGTGTCTAACTATCAGAGAAGCAGTTGGATGAAAGACAAGGATTAGAGATAAGACTTTAAACTCTGTCATTTCACCTCAAATCAGGTGTAACATCCAGTTGCAATTCGGATTCTTTTGCCAACCATTTTTTGTCAAAAGTGAAATTGCATTTCATGTTACAGATGTTTTAAATCAGATGGTTCATTCAACACAAAAATTGCCAATCCAAGGAGTTGTACAAATGTAAAAGCATAATTAAAGAAATAGAAAATTGTAATTAATATATACTTTCTAGGTCAAACATTTTTCAAGTGTGCTAGTTAGTATAATACTATAACACAAGCAGATACAAGAAAGACGGTCTGTACTTTTTCTTCTGTTTTTAAAGATAATTGGTCTAAAATAATTTGATGCCAGAGCAAAAAATGGAGATGAGAAAATGATCTAAAAAGGGAGATAAAACAATATCGAAATATTAGTCATTCTATCTCAGAACCAGATATCGAGAGATGAGTTTCAACTTGGCACTTCTGTACAACCATGAAATAATTTGACAGGTTAAAGGACTCACCACCTGTTTGAATGAATTTCTCAAAAGAGATGGTTTTAGAAACGAAAGATGTAGGTAAAACCCGGACTAGGAGCCCAACTAATTGCTCTCCTATCATTAGGTCAGGTCCAATATTTTGAACACTGCTACAGATGCATGAGCACACCATTATTGATATACTGACTACTCGTGAGTAGCAACAATTTAAATAAATGTCCAGAACTTAGACCAAGGGAAGCTTGACTAAATTTTAAGCATAAAAAACATGGTTATGTCAAACCAATACAATGGTGTTCTATTGCCAACGTAATATTCCACCATAATGATTGAGAAATTACTGGGTCTGATGAGTTCCTGAAACTTTCCCCAACTCTTTTCCGAAAGATGCTGGAATTATGTCCATGCTTGCCATTTTATCCGCTTGTCTCAGTCTCATGGCAACAGAACCTCTTGTATTCCTTCCAAGTGCTCTAATCTAAGAAAAATAAACACAAATGGTGAAAACGAACAAGATTTGGGAGTACTATAATTAGAGTTCATCAAATGACCTGAAGCATACTCCCTCTTAAATAACATAGAAAATTATATCCACATAAAACTAAGATAAAATCAACTGACAACCAAATTGTGAAATTTCAACTGGAGAATAGGTATAAATCTCCAGTGATTAGTGACTAATGACTAGAACCTTAATGTGCAGATACATATACTGAAAGAAGCACGAGAGGGAAAAAAATGAAGAATTAACTCACATTCTCACAAGGGCTCAAGATCACCATTCCATTCTGTGAGGCCATGGCCACAAAATCATCATTCGTGCAATGTCGCACCCATTTCAGCTCATCACCAGGAACCTGTAAGTTGGTTTGTTGTGTTTAAGCTATATGATAATTAAATAAACAAAAAATTCAAGAAACGAAGAAGAAGACAAACCAGTTGAATTGCTATGATTCCTGTTGTCCTAATTGATGAGAAATAATTCAAAGAAACTTTCTTGATATAACCATTCATAGTGAGCATCATAAGATACTGGTTTTCTTCAAACTCACTCACAGGGACAATGGAAGTTATTCTCTCACCATCGGATAAGGACAATATCTGGATCAGAAAGAAAAGTCAACCAAAGTTAACCACCATAAAGAAAAGTAATCTGGATCAGATTACTTGAGAAGATTATGAACAGCTACTTTTGTCTGGGTAGGACGTACTTGGACAAGTGGTGTGCCAGCAGCAGCACGGGTACATTCGGGAATTTTATACGCCCGAGCTGAGTAAACTGTTCCCTTATCGCTGCAAATGGAAAGTAGAGAATACTAGTGATGAACTACTTATCATAATCCAGTAAGTGAGATGCAGGAGATGAATAGCAAGTACGCAGATGGAGAAAGACAATCAGTCAAGAATTGATGATAGTTACAACGTGGATGAGAGCAAACGACGGGTGCAGCATAAATTGCAAACCCAGCTTCTCATTTGTACGGAGGCCTGGGCTAGCCCAAATCAATACCTGCTTACAAGTCCATCCTCTATCGGTGTGATTTTATCAGTCTCAAAATATACATAATTCGAATCGCTAGTTTCTGAACATCCAACGCCAATTTTGGCAGCTACAATATTTTATCTACCTGAGAGAGGTTCTTAGGTGCTGTACTGGCTTCAAGCTTAAACTGTTACCAGCATATAAGTCTAATATCCAGGCCTCCTACTACCCTGTAAAAACTTCACCTCATAAGATATCAATAATTTCTTCGATTGGTAATCTTCAATCTCCATGACAGGCACCTATCTACTACAGCTATAAAATTACCCTCTCCCTTTATTCATTTTTTTTTTTCCATACACGCTAAAAACCATTATATTACATTAATATGATTGCATTCAATCTGTACTCTCTTATTACCAAATAGCAACTAAACCGAAACTCTCTTTCAGTTAGTAACTCAGACCTTGTTTACATTAAGTCATGCGTGAGGATTGTACAGGTCAGGATTAGCTTCTTTTTTTTTTTTTTCTAGAACAAGGTTCCCTGGGGTATGTAAACATGATGGTGCTATTATGATTTCCAAAGTAGATTGATAAATCCAAATTAAGTTTGATTGAATTCCTAATCGACACCAATACCAACTTATTCTGAATCATATTTTTCACGACACCATTTTTAGTGGCCAAATGGAAATTAAAAGAAACAACAAGCTTTGACACCAGAACAAAAATTCATTTTGCTCAAAATAATTAACAAACTAAAAATGCAGACAGAAAAAGTTAATATAATTGAAAGCAAAAAGTACCTAAAATACAGCATGTAGTCATGGGCTCGACAGACGAGGAAATCAGACATTGCGTCATTTACTCTCAACTTCCCAACTGATTTTCCTATAGTCCCACGGTTTTGAAGATTGAATGTATCAGGCCTCATTCTTTTTACATATCCCTTTTCACTAAATGCCTGAAATTTGAATCCGGAACATCTCTGAGTAATAACTAATAACTATACAGATGGTATTAATTCAGGAAGATCAAAAATTCTCAGGAGTACCAGTAGCATTTCTTCATTTGGGATAACATCTATCTCTTCAAGTAGGCCACTTTCAGTGTCCTCCAGCATCGAACACCTTGGAGTAGAAAACTTGTTCTTTATTTCTATTGCTTCTTCTTCTATCAACTAAGTATCAGAATAAAAAATTCACTATTTATAAGATAAACATGTTAAATGACAAACCTTTTATTAATGCCTAGCATAATGACAGACAACAGCATAACTCTTAGCATCCCAGGTAAAGCAAAATCATTAGACATTTAGTTAAAAATAATCATAGAGAGAAGAAATAGTAGAAGAAATAAACAAATTCATCCTAGGAGATAAACGATAACCATAAATATTATATATTCCTATTTTAATAGATGAATGCAAAAGGAAGAAAAAGAAAGAGCGTGAAGGGATCGTTTTATTGCTTTACATTTTGCAGTTTCAATCACTTAAATTCGAGATAAACCAATGAGTGTAAGAACAGAATTGAACGCATCAAAATATGTATTCAAATTCTCATACTTCACAAAAAACAGATAGAAGTGAGCATCCACGGAAAATTACCTCAAGTATTTGCTTTTTGCTTGACAGAAGTTCTTGTAGCTTGGAAATTTGTTCTGTCAAAGATTTTCCCTCAGCAACAAACTTATTTCTCTGGAAAACAACATAGACAAAACCCTCAATACAACAGAAATAGTTTGATATAAGTGTGATCTAGAAACAGCAGAAGTCACGAGATACCGAAGCACCTCAAGAGATGTCAGCTTTCTAAGGCTTATATCCAGTATAGCTTCTGCTTGCTTATCAGACAAACTGAACTCTGCAACAAAGAATTTGTTGTTCTGTCTTTTTAATAATAATAAATAAATAAATACTCTTTGTGGTACATTACACATGGTTTTTGGTAATGGCACCAGCTTAACAAATCATTCTAACCATAAAATATTATTATATATCAACCAATCAGCATAGAATAGTAGAAAGATATAGAACCCGTGAATAGAAGGCACACACCTAAGACACCCGTGAATAAAGGGTACACGCCTAAGGAATGCAATCAATTGAATAGAAGAAAAATATAGAAAGTTGTGTCCAAGCTCACACCAACGGCATCCAGATTTTACAAGTACCAAAAGAAAATTAAAATAAGATACTTTAAATCTCTAAACAGGAGCAAATCATAGCCTTCTGCCATGATCTAACGCATGTGCAGTATGATTTAAATAGAACCAGTGACTAAATGTTTTAACACCCGATACTTATTTTATAATAAACAAAAGCAACTTAGAAAAATCCAAGGAAGATAACCAGTGCCTCATAAAACATTGCACTCTCAACAAGTATAATCGAGCTTACAATAGAAGAACAAATTAGTTGAGTCACCACATGCTTATTCGTTTTCTGGGGAGTATTGGGATTTGGCACACACACACAGTCGCAAAATAAAAGAAGCATTATAAAGTAATAAACTTAGAAGGTCAAAGAAGTTACCTCCTTTCAAATTAGCAGCTGCTGATGCGTGACTTGAAGCGTTCCGGATTATGTCAATAACTCTGTCCAGATTATCAAGCCCCACTATAATGCCCTTAGTTCACAAACAAGCAAAAGAGAGAAGGCCAAAAGGGGAATCAGTAACAACAATTACAGATGGTATATGGCACAGATGTATCCAACTTTTTGAGAAGCACGGTTGATCCAGTTGTATTCATTAGAGAAAGAAACAGTTATAGCGAGCATAAGACACTAAACGACGACTAGCAAAGATTACTTGTATCATTTTCATTTTTTATGAAAACAAAGATCTGGTCGATTTTTAGCAATACATAAAGCTTGTGACTGGACCAAGACCGCTGACTTTCAAGAACTGTTGGCATACCTCAACAATATGATACCTATCTTTTGCTTGTGACAGCTTAAACTTAGCACGCCTTTCAACCACAGAGCATCTAAAATCTAGAAACGCCTGTAAACAGAAAAAGTATTAGAATAGAAACGAGAAATAATTTCTACCCAAAAATAAAAGAAAAAAGTAATAACATATAAGCAAATCCAACACTAGGAAGAAGTTAACATTGACAATACACATAAAAGAAATGTGAAAATGTAAAACATAAGCAACACAAATTTAGGCAATAAATGGGTCCTTTTGACATTCTGAATAGGATGGAAAAGGAAAATGCAAAGTTACAATGCAATGCGAAAAATCATGTTTTGTAACAGACAGTGAAGAAACAATGACAGCGCACTGCTATCAGATGAAAATGATAAACGCATCATATCCTTTTTAATCCGAAATAACATAATCACTTTCCACATTTGCATAAAAAATTTCACTTCTCCCAAGACAACCGTGAACAAACATCAATGATGCATTTGAAAATTTGACAATAATTTTACATTTTCAAATGATGTGTACAACTTAACAACAGAGGTTGCGTGCCTAATAATAATGAAAGTAACCTGAATACCATAATCATTTTGGCACCATTAACTTTGCCGATGCTTTAAGTGTTAAACTTAATTCAAGTTCCTGTCGACTTTTAAGTTGCACTACTAGCTGTGCATTTTGAACAGAAGTATTAATTATGACCCAAAAGTAAACAAGAAACGAAGAGTATACACTATACAATATCTTCCTCTCTATAAACTATATAAGCTGTAGCCAATTTTTTGGCTTCACCCTCTAACGTTCAATGCGTATAAAGCTTATTTATTGTTTATTGATCTTGAGGCAGTTTGTGGCATCACCCAACAAATTTCGGGGCTCAACAAAGGCAGCCTTGGCACAAGCTAAAACTGTAACCCTTCCATTTACAGTTTTCTGTTCTTTATATGGTTAATGGATTTAGGTAATAAAAGTCGCTTCCCTTTCCAGTTTATACAGGTCATTGGACATCCATTGATATACACATTCCATTCAAACCATTCCATCTCATTGTCGACCACGGACGAAATCAAATACATTGTCCACTGAAAAGGTGTGCAAGCCAGGAGAATGATCTTTCACATTAGTTTCTTCACATCTACAGTAAGGTTTTAGACAATAAAACTCACATTATAGGAAAATAAATTTTGACATGCCACTGTAACTCCATTCCAAAAGACAAGGTAAAAGCCCATGTGCCATTCACAAAGACTAATAGATCCCAAGAGTCAGCTAGTCCATATGGAGCTGATTGTTAAGTACAGGAGTTGTCCAAGTGTCTAAGACCTATGTAAAACATTGGGTATGCTTTAGGGTGATTAGCTTGACTATGTACATTGTCACACTTGTGGACCCCCAAGGCACCATATCGCATCAACAAGCCCTATAGCTTTGGTGCATCACGTCAGACCAACCATGTTCCTGTGCAATCCATCAACTCCATAAACCATCCATTTCCTTAGTGAATTATCATGCTAGTTGCAAGCTGATTAGTCACCCCTCGCCACTGAACATAGATATTGTTTTCTTGCCTCTTTCTGTTGACTTTAGTTTCTACGTGCAAAATGAGTCTGTTCTTGCCTTGGATCAGCCTAAGGGATAAAGTTATCTTCTCTTGACAAAAAAGCTCAATTCCTGTCTCTTGCATATGTTTTAAGACAACTGCTATTCCAAATCAACTTTTCAGAGCCACCTAATCTTTTATTATGAACAATGATGAAGCAGCAACGAATGGTATCAGTTCATACTTTTCTAACATTTCATTTATTGTTTATTATTTTCCTGCAATACTGAGAGCTCATTTGGCATTGCTTTTGCTTTTACTTTGTGTAAAATAACTTTTGGAGGAAGCTACCTTGGTTTTTGTTTGGAAACTAATTTTTAAAATCACTTCCTATTCCAGAAGTGCTTTTAGAGGAAGTCACAATGGATCAACTTCCTTTAAAACTTCTTCCAACTACCAAAAGCAGTTTCATAAAATAAGCCAGACAGGTTTAAAAGCAACATTTGGGTCTCAAAATCTCATTTTGGCTCTTAAAAAGCCATGCCAAATAGACCATGAGTATGCCACTATGCCACACTACCAGATTGTTCAATTATATTACAAACTTTAACATAGACCTGTCGGCTGCCGCACGTGATCCTCAATTCATTACCAAATCATTTAGCCTCCATTTGGAAAGAAGTTATAAAGGTTTAATTTATAAATTGATAGAAATAAGTGGTCGTTGAGTGGATAGTACTTGCAGGTCCATTAAAATATGTGGTTGAAATAAACTTTGCCAAATTTATGAAGGATTTATAAATTTGCCAAATGAGGCTCAATGACAACGTAATTTGATTTCTTAATGGTAAATGACATGTAACATCAAAGATGATATTTCACGGAATTTTTTGTCTAAGTAATTTACACCAATCAAGCATCCCCCTACTTTATGAGAAATACAAAATATAAATGTAAGATACCCAAAGTTAGAAGCTGAAATATCGAATTGGTAAACAAATGGAGCCTAGTATAACAACTTCCAGTTATCCTCTTTTGATCTTAAACAATTATTGTTACCTGAGTTTTTACATCAATAAAATTATTTTTTTCTCCCTCGTAATTCTACAGACTGGAAAGTCAATCCTAAATAGAGATATTATCATTTAGTTGAAAACCCCAGTGCTTAATTATCCAACAATTTAATCCTCAGGATAGGAAGCTGCCATTGATAAAACTGCATAGCAGTCAAAAATCTTAGATCTCAGTATTCGTATTAGAAGTTACTTTCCCAAATCAAGAACACAATGGACATGTCAAAAAATTGAAGATATCATTTCAATGTATGCAACAAATCAGCTATATGTGCAAAACTGACAGTGAGGTAAGAATTTGTAACCTGAAGCAATTCTTTTAAACCCATTTGTTTCGGTTGACCATTGAGGATACTGTAATAAAGCAAATAAACAAGGTCAACACAGAACATATATCTTCAATGCATTAGAACATAGTTGTTCACCAGAAAAGTGAAAGAGAGACAGAGACCACAATAGAGAAACAAATTATGTGCACCATTCTCCATTCACCCATCAGACCAATTGACAATATCCAAATAATAAAAATATGAATCACATGACAATATAATATCGAAAAAAGAAAAATATATCCAAAATCCAAACTACAATTTGGCCAATAATATGGCGAACATATTTTCATTAATACAACACAACATTTTGCAATATGGGTTTCTAAAGCATCTAGATAAACATGAAGTTGGAAGAGCTGTCAGTAGACACAATTTGTGTTAAAGGTCCTATCTGAATGCCTAAAAGTAACATTTCAGAGATGTTCTCATTCATCACAACTGGTGTGATATTGTCAACATTTGTCTTCAACATCCTCCAGCTCAAAAATAGAACCACCAACCTTTTTATTATCTGCCACCAAAAGTGGAGAAATCACAGTAAAAGATGCCGCGTCTTTGGGCATCAGAGGCAATTAGTTAGTCTAGGATTTCTCTAATCCAAAAATCTATATAATTTTCAAAAACATAATAGAACTTGAAATTATCATTCGTACATTTAAAAATGGGTTTTCCTCAAATACTCAAAAATAAATATTCGACACGGTTAGCCAGAAACTTGAAGATTACAATAAGGAGAGATAACTAGTCCAAAAAATACTATTAATTCAACATCTGATGAACATAAATACTCATATACCACAAGTAACCAGTCAGTGGTCATTACATAAACAGCAAGACGAAAGGACTGATAGAATTATTTATGGAAGGAAAAGGTTCATAACATAGATATATCAAGTTCCGAAGTTCACATATGCCATACTCTAGCTTAAGTCATGACCCGGTTATTGATAGGTAGGAATGCCAAGTCTCTAACTTAACCACACATTTACATAACAGAAAAAAGAAAAGAGCATAAATGCAGTATATTATGAAAAATAAAAATGATATCCCCATATCCTTTATTAAGTTGTCACCTAGCTTTTCATTAGGTAGAAACGTCGTCTTTCGCTCAACCATGCCGACATATATCACAGAAAGAATCCCCTCCCCTCCTTAAGCTAGAATAACAAAAACAACTATATCAAAGGAATTGGTTTTCTGTCCAACGAACAATTAGATTGCTTATATATACATAATTAATGCTCCATTACTACCACCCAAACAATGAAAAAGACCACATTTCTACTCCTTTTACGCAGCAAATGAAAACCTCTCAAAGTAGTATTGTTCAGGAAACTGCTTACCCCACCATGTTGCAGCTAAAAGTAGACTGGAGTGCTGTTAGACGATATAGATTATTCAAGATGATGGATGGATCAGATCCTCTTTTAAGCTGGAAGATTGGGAAAAAAAAAAAGAAGATAGATGAAATTAAATATTCTCATATTGAAGCTCGGCATTTGAAAATTGGAACTGTAGGTCATAGAACAAAAGGAGAATAAAAATGCAAGAAAGGCGATTATAGAAGTACCTCAATGACTATGCGCATTCCAGATCGATCACTCTCATCACGAATATCACTTATGCCTTCTAAAATCTAGTAAAATCAAAAGGTTCCAACAAAGAATACAAAGCATTAACTGACTTAAAACTCTAAATGATGCCAAGAAATTGAATAAATCAGAAATAGAAAAGTGAAAAAAGGATGGCCATTCTAGAAAAGTGGAAACTGCACTTGACTAAAGGTCATATAAAAGAGGAGTAAATATGCCGGGAAATAACATTTTTAGTCATTTAAAAAACTATTCAAACAATCAGTTAATTTATATAATAAGATTAGTTAAGCATTTAATTTCATATAAATTTATATGATATGCACTGGAGTTTGGCCACAAAAATTTACCAATCATCAAAAAGATAATAATTATTGATCATCTCATCTAAAAGTTTCAATTGCCAGAGGATACATTTATTTAGTTAACTTAATCTTCAGCCTGCCAACTCATGTTGGCCGAATTTATCAAAGGCCTAACACGTGCACAATTTTCATTCATAGGTGGTGTAAAGACTTGAGCTCTAGCTATGGTACCATGATGAAACGGCTCATCTGATAGCTTAAAAGATCAGAGAAAGGACACATTCCTTTATTTAACTTTTATCTTCGATGCTAACTTATGTAATACATTCCGGTTAATATATACAAAACAAAAAGCTTAAATTATCATATTTACTTAATTTAATCTTCAGCCCGTCACCTCATGTTGGCCAAATTTATCAAAGGTCTAACACATACACAATTTTCATTCATAGGTGGTGTACAGACTTGAGCACTAGCTATGGTACTACAATGAAATGGCTCATCTGATAGCTTAAACGATTAGACAGAGGCCACATTTGTTTATTTAACTTTCATCTATACCAATTATAAAACTTCTGGTGAATATATACAAGATCAACCCATGTATTTAATTCTAGAGATGGGAGGAGAAAAGAGATAATATAATTTAACTATTTATACAATCACAAGAATAAGCCCAAATGAAGAAATATAAAACAAGTCATGAGATACCTTATTTTCCACAAGTTCGGCAATTTTCTCCACAAGGGATGCTTTGTTAGTCTGATACGGAATCTGTCCCAATTATAAAGCAAATTAAAATCAAATGTTACTCTACATATCCCATAATTAATGTCAAAAGAAATATAAGTTAATAGTAAGACATAGGGAGCAGGAAAATAAGAAACCTCTTTTATGATGATTGCTGCACGACTGGTTCTGGAATCAAGTAATTCAACATCAGTTTTCCCTCTGATTATGACACGCCCTCGTCCAGTTCTATATGCCTCTAAAATGCTAGACAAGAATAAATATGCAGTCAAAAAATTATATCACAAATCATACATAAACTAGGTCCAAAAAGAAAAAAAGAAACTTCATGCGCATAGAATCAAAAACAAACTCAATTATACAATATGATCTCATCCCATCCAGAGTAATTTATTTGCGATGTCAGAGGTTAAACTTCATCTTCTTTCCACACTGTTTTTTACATATTCTACAATATGAATGTTGTGATAAAAAGCACACTTGCAAGCATACTGTTTGTTTGGCAATGAAGTGACAAAATAATTGAGAAAAGGTTGGGATTTCAATAACCTACCCAATGGTACCCATTATTACTCCTCCTGTTGGGAAGTCAGGTCCAGGCATGTACTCCAGCAATTCTTGCAACTGTTACGAAACAAACATACAAACACAGAGAGACAGATAAAGATGTTCATAACCATCGGTTTTCTGTATAAACATTGATAATTAGCTTCGATCAGATTTTCTATTCTGGAAATAGATTGTATCATACTGAAAAGAGGTGAAAAATCAAAACTCATCACAGGTATCTAGGAGAATACCCAAATGTGAGCAAGTTATTCAGTTTTCTCTTCCAAGGTTGATACACAGAGGAATATTAAGGGCCTGTTCAAGCCACATTTTTTTCTTGAGAATGCATTTTGGAATAGAATATTGACGGAGAATGTGTGATTGAAAAATAAGGAAATGTTTTGAATTTGCGTGTAATATTATTTTATTGAAGAATGTGTGGTTTAAAAAAAAAAGATGAATTTTGAAAATAATGGAGATCAAACAAGAGCTAAATATTCTTCGTAAACGTTTATGCCAAGGTTCAATTATGGCCGTTTTCAAAGAAAATGTAAATCTGTTTTTAACTTCTTAATTTCTTAAGGGGCCTTGTTTCAACACAATGCTTCAAACAAATAGCGATTATATGAATGTTAAATTCAACATCATGCTGCAAAGCGTAAGCAACTTCTCAAAGTTTTGTTCTCTACTGGGGAAAAACAGATGTCAAAATAACCAAAGGACCTGTTTATCACATATTTTACACGCTCAAATCAAGGAAGAAGGAACCGCGGAAATGAAAGAAACAACCACGATTTAAAGTTTAGGACTTAGTTTATACATTTTCAATTATTGAAAATAAAAATAAAAAACTCATATAGCCAACGTCGAGTTTACTCAGAATAAGGTTTAAGTTCAGAAGAAAAAGGGAAAGAATCACATAAGATAATGATGTTTGACTAGTAAAATAGATACCGTTGCTTCAGGATTACGAATCAGCACAGACAGTGCATCAACCAACTCCCCAAGATTATGTGGTGGTATATTTGTAGCCATTCCAACCTAAGAACATGAAGAAAATAAAACTGACAATAAACTATAACCCACAAACAGCCATTTAGATTTTTAAGAGTAAGGGAAATCATGTTGGAAAGATAAGAGATTCAAGTGGGTAACCGCAATCCCAGAAGCACCATTCAACAGCAAGTTCGGAACACGAGCAGGGAGTAAGGATGGCTCTTTTTGGGAGTTGTCAAAATTTGGAACAAAATCAACCTGCAATATATATGCAGTTAAAGAAATCATAACTAAAAATTTAATACCAAATACGAGTAAACAGCTACAAGGATAGACACTGACAGTATCTTGGTCCAGGTCTGATAACAACATTGCCTCAGTGAGTGCCTGAAGGAAGTACCTCAAACATATTAACGCCCATCAAATTCAAAACATTACATCAGGAATATTAAAATTATAAGGAACCGTGAAGAATTTCTGTCGCCATTTAAAGTAGAATATCTATGAAAAAGAAATGGCATAACTATATCGAACTTCAATGTTTTGAGACGAATGAATAGAAGTTCAAAACCTTCTGTCCCCTTCAGCTTTTATTTTAATAGTAGCCTATTTTAACGAGCATTCATCAAGGGAATTTTCATGTTAAGGCAGCATTGAGGTCTAGTAATTCTGTCAATAGGTTATAATCATTTCGTAACATCAGCCTATTTGAACCTTTTTTTTTTTTTTTT